TATATAATCTTATCTATTTCATTACAAATCTTCCTATCTCTAAATTCCATAGGGAGACATTACTTTATACACTTCCCACTAACAAGCTCTTTTCAGAGCCATAAGAAAAATCATTTTCCAAGCCTGGAATGGAAAGATGCTTCAATTTACTCTTTCTAAACAGAAATCATAATTAAAGAAATCGAGTCTAGTATGTAGCTGGACTTTTGTTCTCAACATGACATGAGAAACATGAGAATCTGGCTTCGTTATCTCAGTACAGGCTCTAGACCAGGGGTGTCACACTCATCGCGGGCCACATCAGCATTATGGTTGTCCTCAAAGGGCCGGTTGTATCTGCATCTATCTGCTGTTTTTTTTTTTTGTATTCTGACAGCTGCTGCCGTCAGAATAATTAAAAAAAAAAAAACAGTATAGGAATGGCTATTGGCAAAGCTGGCTATTGCACCTGCCCTGATGGAGAACTTCAGGTCCACATCTGCTGAGTGACAGCAGCAGTGGGCGGGTGCAATAGCTAGTCTGCTATTGGCTATTACAAATTGAAATAGCCAATAGGAGCCTAGCTATTCATTCCTATGCTGGTTTTTTTTTCCGGAATGTCCGAAGACTATATACTGTAAATGTATCTACTCTTTATCATATTAAATTATTGCCTCTGCATTCGATTATTACTGGTTTTAGCAATAACTTAATAACTAGCTCTGAAAGTAGAAGTCAAGGAAAAATAATAGCAGTTAGTGTAATACTGTGGTCTCTCAGATGGTTGTGTATGCTCTATAGTGGGCTGTGCGGAATCTCAGTTGGGCTGTGCGGTCTCACCAGGAGTCCCGGTCAGTCTCGTCGGGTGCGGATCCACAGGAAGGAGAAGATTTCCTGCTGGCACTGTAAACAGGCGCGCAATTCACAGGAAGGCTGCCAGGACCTTGCTGGAGCCCACGGCAGCCTTCCTGTGAAGCCCGGTGCCTGTTTACAGCTTTGGCTTCATTTTAAAAATGTATGCCTGCAGGAAAGGTACAAGGGCCACATGAAATGTGGATGACACATGTGCCCTACATGGTTTCAGCCCATGTGAGCCTTTAGTTTACATCAGCTAAATAAATTTTAGGTCCATCAAAACTAAAGGTGTCCAAGATCCTACAGTTTGTTTCCTTTGAAAAGCAGTCATAGGTTTAGTAGAAAAGCTGGTCCCCTGCCAGCATCTGCAGAGTGGGACTCTTGCTCTCTGTGGGAAAGCAGTACACTCTTTGCAGAAATCCAACGCCCCCCCCCAGAGGTCCAGAACTCTCTAATCAGCCGGAAGCATGAGTTTTTTTGATTGCTAAACTATTTGTCTGGCTCAGCAGGGAATGTGTCAGACCTCTGCAGAGAACGCCAATGACCAACTCTGCAGCTGCTGGCAGGGGACAGGCTTGTATACTCAGGTTGTAGATGGTTTAGAAAGAAATGGATCTATAGTACATTGAACACCATTTGTTCTGATTCCCCCGGGATGTATTCAGCTGATTTAAACCAACAGCGATCAATTAGGCTTTAAATCTCCCTAATATGATTATTTCCACAGAACACCTATGGTCTTCCACACTACTCAGACGCCACCAACCCAATCCCCCCTTCCCCAATATACTTATTTCTCCTCTTTCTCTTCCTTTTCCTTATTGTTCCTTAGTGAATAATAAAATTATATTCAGTTTTTTTCAATCTTATATGCAGTTGTTGCTTGATATTTGCTACTGAAGCACAGCATTCAACCCTTATTGGGATTTTACTGTATTGTCAGTATTTTTCTGTATACTTTTTTCACCCACAAAATTTTGTTATAAGCAAAATGTTTAATTGTTTGAACCTTAATCTGAGACTAAAGCCCAACTGAAGTCATAAAATAAGTTAGAGTTATGGCCAAGTAGATATTTAGTTTGATAGACATTGCAGTAACAGCCTCAAAATGTCATCGCTTTCTGTTCTCATGCTTTTGTAACCCTTTCCCTGCCACATACCTATCTTTAATACGTCGGTGGCAGCCGGCCCCTTTAAACAGACTCCCGACTCTATTTACATTTGTAAAACTGACTGTTGTCTTTACAGTGGAAGTGATTCTGGCGGCTGAACTGCCGCCAGATCGCTTCCAGGGGTCAGTGAAGTGCCCGGGTTACCCTGCCCCTCCTGTGGGCCCAGGACCGGCATGTCGGGTGTCGATGGGGAGCAGACCGGCGAACAGTTCACCGATCTCCTCTCTGCGCTAAGGAACCAGAAATGACACTGATTGTATCATTTCCGGTCCCTTAGCTGTCATTGCTCAGCTACAAACCTTGGCACAAAGCTACTGGAGCAGAAATGTAACAATAGGGGTCTTTTAGACCCCTAGAGTCCCCTCAAAGAGAACCTGTCACCTCCAATGTGCTATCACATAGGGGTTGCAAGCCCCTCATGTGACAGCAATTAAGTAAAGAAAAAGTTTTTTTTTTTAAATGTAATAAAATAATTGTAATTTTTTTTTTAAAGTCCCCTGCACCCATGCATATTAACATAGACATCTGTCAGGTGTGCATAGTTACAAAAACATGCGCCAGTGAGATCAATAAAATGATGGCCTGTAGAGTGTTGCCTATGGACAATTTGGGGTACCATATGTTTTTGCAGTTACACGGACGCATACAATTTTTAACCTTGGCATGGCCTGTTGGGTATCTATTTACTCGTACTAAACGCATCTTTTATATTTCACAAAATTATGGATATTATATTGTGTTTTTTTGCACTAAAATTAACTGCATTATTTAAAAAGTGTTTGGGTTTGATAAAGAGTTGCGCTAATATCGTGGTGCGATATAAACATTTGCAACTGTCACCATTATATTATACAGGGTCCTTGCTTTCAAGAAATATAAAATGTTTGGGGGTTTTTAAAACATTTTCAGGCCTAACATGTGGATTATAACATGTGTGCAGAAAAACGCAAAAAGGCCTTGACATCGAAAGGGTTAAAGCAACTACACAAGGTGTCTAAATATGCCTGTGTGGCCAAATATGGACCAGAATATGACCAGTCTGACCAGTACACTCTTATAATATAACAGACCTGGTCAGATATGCCTTCTCTCAGAACTACAATTGTATGTAAGGACACTTGTAATAAGGGGTATGGCCTTACTCATCTATGCCAGCATAGAGCACTGCAATAGAAGTGATATGTATGAAACTGGGAAAGAGGAGAGGATTAAAAGTTGGGATATGTGATATAAATCCAGCCTTCTCCCCCATCTTCTAAACGCGGCCAAACGCTTGATGCGCCGCTACTGGAAGAAGACATCGGTCCCCACGGTGAAGGAGTGGAGCGGACAGGTATCAGGTATCCAGGTTCCAGAGGAATGGCTAGCCACAAGTAAGGACAGATATGCTAAGTATTATTCCACCTGGGCCACCTGGATCCATCCCAATCCAATGTAGGGATCTATTGTTAACAATGGCAAATTGTATTATTGCTTTTCCTGTCCACACCACCCAGATAAACTTGAGAGCGAGTGGAGAATGATTGGTTTCCATGACCACCTGAAGGGTCACGTGATCATCACTTTGGCTGCCCGCGGGCTATGGCAGACCC